ATATTATATAGATAGAGCACATCTGCCTGAGCTAATACCTTCGATCGTTCGTTAACGCCGACGAGCGATTGCCTGTATATAAATGTGCACGCGATGTGCGACAGACTGTACGCGATTCGGGAGATTTTCTTTTTTTTTTTTTTTTTTCATCAGTCGTCCTCGCGTAAGCTCGCGCAGAAGCTTCATTATGCGTGCAATGTGTATAAGATAAGTCGTCTTTTTTTATTCCATATTACTGTGAGCGACGCACGTGTCCCCGTACTACCCTACGTATATAGATCGCCACGTCGTCACCTCTCGTCGTGCTCGTGGTGAGTTATAGATAGAGAGAGAAAAAAAGGAATTGAGAATCGGGATTGAATTTTTATTAATTACATTCGGTTTGGATCCAGTCGACCGACAATAACGAGCTTTTATTATATATTATCCACGCTCGATACAAAAATATCTCATTTTCTCGAGGATTCAATAGAACCCGATCGAAAAATTGCCTATTCGCATTTTCATTTTTTTCTGTTATAATACATCTGTACCTACGAGTTTTCACACAGTTATATTGGACTCGACGATAATATACATATACACACGTCGGTGGTCCCCCGTGCATATTATTTTCTTTTTACCGAATATATGATACACCGCTCGCTCTCCCTCGGGGATCACAAGCCAAGTCGCAGGATCTCGAAACGCAACAAATATAAACTCGCACTTTTCGCGATATACATACCTACCACGCGCTTCATATACACACACATATACTTATAAAAGTGCGGGGAGAAAATAACGACCCAAGTTGTTCGCGCGATATTATATGTATGTGTGCGTGCGTGAGGCAAATTTTTAACGCCTCGCGACCTCGTGAAATGTGTGTATAACGTCTCTTGGCAAACTGACAACGAGTGTATATAGTGCCAGCCTATGTGACGATACGGCTCGAGTAAACTTTGCGCTAGCGACTGTTATGGGGCCCGAGCGGCTGTCTTTGCGTCACCTGCTGCTACTGCTGCTGTATAAGCACCATACATCATGTATTCTTGCGTGACTGCATGAGTGCGTGCTGGGCGTGAGACCTGCCGTTAGGAATATTATAAGCTTTAGGTACCTGTATGGACTGATCGATCCGTTTCCGATATGTGCATATGCTAAATATTTGTCCTTAGCGGCCATATAGGAGTTTGCTGTTCATTTTTCAGCTGTGCAACTCTAGCTCAGATATCTTATCCTATACATATTAAAAGAAAACTTGAGTAATCGTTAACAAAAACAAAATAGAAAATTAACATTGTGATTGCGCGAACCTGATAAATTCTTGTGCGAACTAAGGGTTTAAAATCCCAGAAATTCTCACGAAATGACAGAGTTTTATCGTAAGCTACTACTCTGTTAAGGTGATTTGCCGCTAGGTGCCACTTTGATAGAAACTTTTCGCGCGAGCGATGGAGAACGCGAGAGTTAATAAATATATGGCCAGGTCCGACCTTAGACCACAATACGGCAAATTTCTAAGTGTGAAATGAATGTGCTGAAAATGTAAGAAAAATTATCAGGTTTTGAAAACCCGCAACGAAAAATCGACAAAAAAACAATATAAAAAATATTCAGAAAACAATACGAGAAGTATCGTTGGTAAATTATTCGACGCACTATTGAAAATTTCTCAACTAATTCGTATAAGTTTCAGAAGTTAAGATAAAAGTATTTTTCCCCGTCTCGCGTATCCGCAGCGAAACGGGCGTAAGAAAAATAATGAAAAATTGGAAAAATAACGTTACTTTTTCCCACTCTGAATTGTGGCGACTCGCCACCAGATGCCGCTCCGCCAGGGACCGTTCCCGCGAGCGATGGGATCTACGAAACTTGCTATATACCCGCCACTTCAGAAAGTCGCTCAGAAAATGCATATGGTCGATGAAGCTTTACCTTGCCTATATACACCTGGCATTCTCGAGTGAAATAGGCACGTTTCGTAATTTATATCAGGTTTACGTACCAATAAGCGTGCATTGCAACGAGAGCTAAGCCGCGCGACGTCAAAAAAGAGTCGCGCGCGCGGAGCACACCGTCTGCGCACGGCAGCAGTGTGCATATAAACGATCCGTACACATATATAGTTGCCTCGCGTCGCTCGTTGAGTTTTGCGCGCTGCTCGCGGAGCTGCGTAATTTGAAAGGCGAAACACGATCTAGGCACGCACACACAAACAGATATTCAGTTGGGGAGAGAAAGAGAGAGAGAGAGAGAGAGGCGAAACCGAAGATCCAACCGAGACGGAGTGGCTGCGGAACAGTACTACCCACACACACACACACAGAGTTGTAGAAAGCTCGTTCTTCCAGTGAGTTGCGCATAATGTCTCATAAACGCCTCCCCGCATGGCAATAAACTCAGCGGCTCGTTAGAGAGAGATCCCGTATACTATATAGTTTCTCTATCTCGGTGCAAAGCGCCAAGAAGTCGCTTATGCAAATATCTCGCTCCGAGAAAGACGAGAAAGAGAGAATCAGAGGAGGGGTGGGGGCGGGGGGAAGGTTGTACACAAGCCTCGACTTTTCTTATTCTTTCGCCTGACCTTTTTTTTCTTCAGCTACGACGCTCTGCGTGTCTTTTTAACTGATTTAATTAAATTCGGCTGACGCCACCGCCGCCACACGACGTTTGCAATTCTGTCGCGCCCGCTGATCCGCCGGTATAGCGAGGGGGGAAGAGCTTTCAAATCGAAGGCAGAGATCAACGCTCGTGTATTCGATCCCAATAGTGGCTTACTTGCTTATATAGGTGGCTTATCCTTACGATAGAAAGACTTTGATACATTACCTGTTGTTAAAGTATGATACATCGCGTTTATAGCAGTTCTTTCAATCGCGCACACGATATACAATTTCCACAAGTTTCTTATCGCTGTATAATTTTCAATGATTGTAATATGAAAATAAGTGAAATGGGCCTGGTTAAAAGTTACGTTCGTACGGTTGACCGTAAAAACCAAAGATCAGCGGGGCAAAGAAGAATACAGAACAACGTAATAAAACCCTCGCCCGGCGCCTTTTTCATTCGAGCGAGTCATTTTTTTTGGTGTATGCGCGCGAGTGTTGCACTTTACATGCTCTCGTCTCTGTATTATGACTATCCGGCGGCGGCGGCGGCTGCGACGACGACGACACCTCATTGTAAACGTACGTTTCCATCCCTTTTTCCATATTTTTCCTCCGAATAACAACGACAGCGACGACAAAAAAAAGACAATTGTCCGTCGCGAAGGCCACATACAGGGAGCTTGCAGTGAGCTTTTTTTCGGATTGTTTGCTTCGAGCGGCGCATTATTACAATTCGACGCGTGTTTCTCTCTCTCTCTTACCTCGAAATTATAATGAATTTTACACTCTGATACGTACTTTTAATAAGTTACCAGTGTCGCCCAATCGCGTATGTTTAATTATAAATGACTCAATCAATCGAACACTGCGGACATTAATTTTCACACGTATAATCACGCAATAAAAATTAACGCGTTGCCCACTTGCAAATGTCGCGTTTGAAAAATAAATAAAGTTACACATTACCGTGAGGTACAGACGCGCGCGCCCCCGGAGTTCCGGTAATTAATATCGATCTCACGCCCTCGCGACTCGTATAATATTACAATGTAAAAATACCAATTAAGTGCTTGACGCTCGTTCGAACGGCCGCTCGGATTTAAATGATCAAAGCGAGAGCGACCGATTTTCAGTCTATTCGGTCGAAAATCTAACGCCGAGAGATGAAGTATGCATACAAATCGCAGCAACAGCAGCACTGCTGCACACACACACAGATATATATAATGTATCGGTGCGAGCTGTGCTGAAAAGCTTTTGCTATATGCAGCGCGTATATTGAAATACGCGCGCGGTGCATTATGTTGATTCGAATTCTAATGTATGTGTGTGAGAGTGTAACGTTGGAGCCGAACTTCATGACTCGTATCAAAGAGTACAGTACATTTCGAAAACAGCTGCCAATTCGGCCCGAATGACGAAAGCTTCGGTCGAGCGCGCCGATCGAGCTTATTTTCGCGATGATCGTTTGACGCGTGCGAGCTGCGATTTCTCTCTCTCGTATAACTTCAGAGTATGGAATTCAATGCGTTGCCGGAGTGTCGGATTAATCGAAAGCTCGCACGCGTATCGTAAACGAGAGAAATTCGGAAAGAAGTTTAATTTTCGACTCGCGCCAATCTGAGATACATTATGTGTTTTATGGCACGTGTTTAAAACAGCTAATATTTTCTCATTATCGCGTAAGTATCTCCACCAAAATGAAAAAGCTCGCCTACCCATATACGCGATATAAAAAAAAAAAAGAGAGAAACGATCGTGGCAGCTACCGGCTGTGTTTGGTGCGTGATATAGAGTACTAGAGCAAATTTCGCGTTGCTCTCTCTCTCGCTATAGCTTGTGTAAATAATGCGAGCTGGCGCAAGCTCGTCGCGTACGTATATAGGCACACACCTCTGCACACACATACGCGCGTGTGGTTGGTCGGGATTGGATCTGAATAATGGAAGCTTCACCGGTAAACCGAGAAACCAAAGTGAACTCTCTCTCTCTCTCGCTCGCGCGCTCTTATACCACTGCTACTATATATACCACTGCTGTATGTACTACTCGCTATTCTCACACCGACTCACCGATGCTTTTTAATTTGCTTCGGCGCTGAAACATCGCTCTCGCGGGGATTGCCTATCTTTTATCCCGAACTGCCGTGTGTGTATAGAGTAGGCCACCTAATCTACGAATGTGTGATAAATGCCTCGCTTCATCTCTCGCTTGCTCAATTATTACTGATACATCTTTTTTCTCTCTCTCGACACCAGCAGGTGGTTTTGCTCTCTGTCCAGCCACGCGTGCTACAATATTTACTCGAACCAACTCGTAGATTTCGGTTCTCGAAATTAAATCAACGTCCCGCGCACCCGACTCTACGTATTATTATAATTATGTGCTTTTATCGAACGTTCGCAGGTAAGAGCTTCACGCTGACGATCATGCTGCAGACGTCTCCGCCGCAAGTGGCCACGCTCTCCAAAGCCATCAAGGTCACCGTGGACGGGCCGAGGGAGCCTCGATCGAAAACACGTGAGTATATATATTATAATCGCGCGTATATCGATGTACTTACTATATATGTATAAAACGCGTCGGTTCGAGTCGCGAATAAGTCAATGAGCGAAGTATCCGCTACGAGGCGTAACTTTGGCTTATCGTGAACACGCAGTAAGAATTACAAAGTAATCGCAATAATTAAGATTCATTGATGCCAATGAGGTACATTGAGCGGTATCTCTCTCTCGAGCTCTCTATTACAATTCGTCTGCCTCAACTATCCTATTATTTATATCTATATGTACCGAATTGCGCGTATATACTATGTGCTAGTGTATACATGTGTTGCAGGTCATCAAGCGTTTCATCCGTTCCACTTCGGGCCGAGGCCGTTTCCCTTCGGACCTCCCCAGGACCCGCTGGGATTCAAGCTGTCCGGTAAGTGATAGCGATTAGATCACACGCTCGGCACACGCATTAGGACACGCACGCATACAGACAGACTAGTTTCTATTCTCGCGTGTCTCTATATGTACGTCTATTCTCCCCATCTCGTTCCACTTGGAGCTCGCAGCTTTCTCATCACCGTAGACGAGGACGAGGACGACGGAGGCTCCTGCGGACTAGCTGCGACGTCTCACCTCTCGAGAACTAGCGTAGTAGTAGATAGTCTCTCTCTCTCTCTTGTCTGAGCTCTGTAGCGTATATGGAGCTCTTGCGTATAACTGAATTTCCGACCCTCGAGTAGTAGTAGTCGTCGTCGTCGTCTACGCGATCCTCCGCAATTTTGGCCTCCCTCGACTTATATCTTTAATACGCCTGTCTCGTTTCATACAACTTTATATCGTGTGCCCTATAGCTCCGCTTTAAACTTTTTTCCTTATTCCGCTCTCCCTTTATTTATTTTTTTCTCGTTGTTGAAAAAAAATTCGACAATAACATATTTAAGTACGAAAAAAACTGCTGCCTCGCGTGTCGTATACGAGACGCGTTATTATACATTCTATATAGGCAATTTGAGGCGCGCGCGCGCGAGAGAGCGAGTCGTTTTCGCGTGTGCTCGAGCTAGGGAAAATTCGATCTTCAAAGGGGTGGCAGCGCGCGAGTGTAAGCCAAGAACAGTAGCTCACCTAAATACTTACATGATGCAGGAAGGCAGTCAGGCAGAGGCAGAGGCAGCTGTATACATTAGTTCTCTTTACCGACGCTAGTTGTGCACTTAAGGTGTAAGGCCGCCGAGCTGCTGCTGCTGCCGTTGCCACCCCCCCGCCTTCTTCGCGCCCGCGTTGGCACATATATACTATACGTATAACACGTGTGCAAAGGGCGTCAAAATTGAGTGACGACAGCAGCAGCAGTAGCAGCAGCTACAGCGCCAAGTGAAACGAGGCGCCTTTACTAGTTTCAAAATTGAGTTTTCGCTGCTGCTGTTGCCGCTGCTACTGCTGCTCCTGCGAGCTCCTAAGTGCACAGGAGACTCTGATTAATCTCGAAGCTAAAGGCGAACTCTGCTTTTCCTATATACATGAATATATAATATGAGCTACCTTACCCAGTCAAAGCCCTGTTTGTTACTCTCCCTCTCTCTCTCTTACGTTGATGCTTCTGTGACGTTGCGCCGAAACTCGCGCGAGTTTTTATCGTCGCCTAGCTTTTCGCCTTCTTAAATGATTTCGATTCGCGGAACATTAATTAGCATAGCTTATAGTTTTAGATGATTTAGTGCTAGGTTTAGAAAATTCAAATAACTTTTATTTGAATTTAAGTTATTTCTTTTATAATTTTAATACGAAGTAGCCGCAATAATGAGAATAATATTATAATATCTCTGGTGGATATGCTCAACATTAATAATAACCCGGCAAAGACGATTAAAATGTTTTAAAATAAAATACCATTATCTGGCTTGGCTATTTTTCTGTTTAAAATTTGTGAGCCCATAATAATCACCTGAAAATGACAATACAACAGTTTCAAATAGTTTAAACTATCTTTCAACCAATTTATTTACGATAATACTACTTGAATCATTCACCACTAGATGGCGAGTACTTACTTCTGTAAATCTGCAAGTGACAAAGTCAAAATAATTGTATTAATTGAATGTAATGTAATACTGTAATCTAAGTAACTTTTTTCCATTTTTTCATTGTTTTGAATACCAGGAATATCACTTCAAGCCTCCGCCCCTAGATGGCGAGTACATTAATCAGTAAATCCGCAAGTGACAAAGTAAAAATAGTTGCATAAGTCAAATTATCGTTTTGAAAGAAATTACTCCCCGTTTCAAAAGCCAAAAGCGTCTCCTCTGGCTGCCCTCAAAGAATCCTCAATCTATAGAATAGTATCGATAAAAGTGTCAGAGCGAGAGTGCGAGGTCATTTTGTCATGCAGTAAAAAGAAACAACAACAACAGACAGCAAACGATCCGTACACGCAAGATGCTTTCGGGGGTTCGGAAAAAAGTTCGAAGCTCTCTCTCCCCCCCCCCCCCCCCNNCCCCCCCCCCCCCCCCCAGTTTATATGTATGTGTATAGTCGGGCTCACAAGGTAGACAATAATAACCAGGGCGTGTGCCCGCGCGCACGAGAGAAACGAATCCGATTGAAACTCGTTCGAGGCACCAAATTGATGGAACCAGCCCGAGGCAAACTTTACCCCATTCTCCGGGCCATTGTGTGCTTGTGTGTGTATGTATTCTCTCTCTCTCTCTCTCTCTCTCTCTCTCTCTCTCTCTCTCTCGTATAAATGCACCTATATATACGATCAAGCCATGTCCATGTACACCACGCGTGTATACGATATACACACTGGCCTCTGAGTGAAAATCTAAAGGTTATATACATAAATTATACATGTGTGTGCAGTACACACAGACACGCGCGTACTCGATACGTCTTTATGTATAAGTGAGCTCTCTCTCGCACACACACACACACACACACACACACACACACACACATATACGCACAGATCAAGCAGCAGCAGCAGCAAGCTTGAGCGTAGGATGGCGCGGTACTGATACGTTGGTGCACCAATAGTGTATTGTTTCGCCATGATAAGCGGCTTAACTGAGCTTCATTCGAGCTGGTTCTATCGCTCGCTCTTCTCTCTCTCCTCTCTGTGAACTACTCACTTTCATACGTGCGCGGCTCTCCTCCCTCCGCACCCTCCTCCTCCTCCTCCTCCTCTTTCGCATGCACACATCATCCCTACGGCTATATTCTGGCCTCACCCTGGTGTGCTGCAGTGCACACCGCGCCTAGCTATATATATATATGCTGCGGAGACTTCCAAAGGAGAGCGATCGGTGTGCGGGCATTTGACGGTTTTTCTTTATGTGAAACTTCTTATGGGAAGTTTGGGGGGGAAGAGAGCTTGAATTTTATCAATTCGCTTGGACTTTGATTTTTTTTCTTGTGGAAATCGTTGAAGTTTCACTTGAAACAGCTTGTTCTTTTACGTGGCTGCGTATTTGAGAATTAATAATTCAAAATTCGTTTTGTCTTGTAACAAGATTTGTCGTGAGCAAAAGTGTCCCATATGATTGCGAGCTTCCCGATTTCATCGAAAGATGGAGTATAGTAAATCCGCAAGTGGCAAGAAAATTGTTCGATTGGTATATATATACGTAGCGTATATATACGTGCAGTTAGTGCGTATTCGATTGGTTACTTCAATATGTCTTTGAACCTGCTTTTGTTCATAGGCAAAATGTTCTTGCAGGCACGTGATTTGTTTTTCTAATGTGCTTAGTCAACTCCAAAAGGTACACGAACGTTACGTGAAAATTTTTCTCAATTATCGCTTTTCTCACACATCAAGTGTTAACAAGCAAATATAAGACAGAATCTACAAGATTAGAAAGATGATAAATATAACGTATATTAATAGGCTTGAATTACCTTTGTACTCCAAAATATTATCATCATTTATTTGATTTTCATTGAAACAATACTGGTAAAGTTTCACTTGTAACAGTTATTTTGGTGCAGCTGCTTAATGGATATTAAAAATGAGTTATTTTTTCTAAAAATATACGTAAGGATTAATATTCCCGAATTCGTTTCGTATTGTAACAAGATTTATCGTAAACAAGAGTGTCATATATTATTATGAGTTTTCTGATCTCGTCGACAGATGGAGTATTATACATCCGTAAGTGGAAAAAGAATTTTGGATTGATATATAGAGCTACAATGAAATACTCATATTATTACGCTCATGCGGTTGTTATTCAAAGTTAGAAAGTAAATACCGAGTTTGAATCAATGCGTTTAAATTTTTATTCTCGCAATTCGAGAATAACCCTGAGCAGTATACGATCGTTAAAATACTCCTATATAATATAATCCGCATTGTACCCCCTGGAGACGATTAAACCAGTCTACCCGAATCTTAACTATGATCCTTGGTTATATCCATTACGGGGGTTATGAATTTATTACAATTATTCTAAATCTACAAAAATGACGTTTCAATCAGTATTTCTACTTTCGCGCCTAAAGACATTCTCAAATTAAAATCTCGGCAGGTCTATTCCTCGTTATATTGTCTCGTGCGTCTCAAAAAATGCTCGTACAAACTCATTCGATAAACTCTCGAGGACGCATACGTACGTATCATCCGCGCTGCGCACGCGGTCGTAAACGTCGTTACTGCAGGATTTATTTTTTACCCTTTGCTCTCTGCCGTGTGTGCCACTGCACGCGTAAAACGTGTACAATGTATAACGTATACGTGTGCGTAGCGTAAAATGCTCGCGAGTGGGTGTGTAGCGCTGGCTTGACCATGATAATAACGGAAAGCAACAGCGACACCAGCGCGTATCGACAAGTTGCCCACGGGGCAGCAGCAGCGGCGGCGAGTCGAGAGTTTTGTTTCACATGGTGCTGCTGCTGCTTTTCTGTAACTCTTTCGCTGCCGGCACCTGGCGGGGGGCGGAGGCTGGCGCAGTTCGTCCAGCGAGCCACAGATCGCGCCCTTGTCCAGTTTTGCGCTCGTGTCCAGCAGTTCGTACTCTAGCTGCATGAAATCGCGTTTGAAAATCCTCGTGCACCTCGAGCTGGAATTTCGACCGTCTTCGAAGTAACGAAAATTACGCTACGGCGAAAAATCTTACACACAGATATCTAAGAGAGTCAAAGAAAGGATACACTTTGATATTTAACGAAGTATATAAGAGCCACGCCGGCTGTTACGACGTGCGTGCGGTGTGTCTTGGGCGTGAAACTCGCGGATGAATAGATACATCGTCGAAGAAAGAGAGGGACGCACCGAGAGATACATAGACACTGGTAGTGTGAGTGTGTGTGTGTATTATATGAAGTCGCCACCCTGAGAAGATAGTATACAGTACTGCTACTACTCTCTCTATATATAAAGCATCGCTCGCCTCGCATCGCGCAGGGGTTGTTAAGGTGCCCATTGAGGTGTAACTAGGGGGATGTTATTAAATTTCCCTCGTCCTATACACCTATATACCTCTATCTACCTTATGCGCAGTGAGCGTCTATAGCGAGTCTATATATCGCCTGCTGTTGCGTATTGTGTGCTGCTGCTGTAGTTCGAGAGGTTCGAATTTCACGTCTCACCCTCTTATATACCTTACTCTCTCTCTCTCTTGGCTGAGCAGCAGCAGCTCTTTCCTTGCTCATCAAGGTGTTGTTTTCTTCGCTGCTGCTGCTGCTGGTGGCCCCTTTGGCGCGAGACTATACACAGTCCATTTTTTTTTTCTCTACTAGCTACCCTCCACCTACTCCACCTTATTCTTCTTCTTCTCTTACGGCTACACACCCTGCCGAGCGCGCAGCGTGTTCTCGACCACTTTGACCGAGCGACGCGCGGCGTCGGCGTCGTGGACACTGTCCAGCAGCGAAGGAATTCCTCGCCGCTGCTGCCGCTTCTTTGAACTTTGCGCGCACGAAAGAAGAGTAGTATAGGGTTGATTTCGAGGCGCTCGCGTATAGTACATAATGTACAGGAGAAAGGTGAGATAACAAAGCGCGCGCGCGAATTGCGAACTTGTACGGAATTTTTCTTGATATTCTAGAAGGCGAACGCGCCACTATCGGCTCGTGTTATATTATTACACTGGACGAGGCTATTTTTTTTTTCTTTATTCAACAACGAGGAAAATAGATTTTCCGATGCTTATTAATAAGATGGAGATAAGGTCTTATCTTATCGAATGTTACGAAGCAGATATACTACGTCGAGTTATACGAGAGCGTTGTGTTGAGCGTAATTTTAGTTGTAGTGTACTTCTTTTGTTGACTGAAAGTAGAATAATTTATAGAAAGGGTGCGTGAGTGAGTGAGGCAAAACATTGAAATGTCGGATTATGAATAATTGTTTAAATTAAATTATGGAGCTGACATTCTGCGTACTAGTTTTAATTATAGCTATACTTTTGCTGTATCGATTAATCCGTAAAAGGCACAATTTCAATGACTCAGGCATACCTCAACCCCCGGAAACATTAATAATCGGCTCTACTGGCTTAAACATCATCAAGAGACTTCATCTATCCGATATCGTGAAAAAATGGTACAATTACGACAAGGACGCAAAATACATCGGACTGCACTTGCTGATGCAACCCGTGATCATGCTTCGCGACGTCGATCTCGTCAAAACCATTCTGATCAGAGATTTCGCTCATTTCACCGATCACAAGTCGATCATGAGCGAGTCTCTGGATCCGTTGCTGGCGAAAAATCTGGCGATGCTCAACGGCGACCGATGGCGCGAGGTGAGAAACATCCTGAGCCCGTCGTTCACGTCGAAAAAAATGAGGGCGATGTTCGAGTTGATGTCCAGCTGCGCGGAAAATTTCGTCGATAGTTTTTTGTCGAGGCACGCGAATAACACGGAGGAGGTCGACACGAAGGAGGCTTTCACCAAGTACACCAACGACGTGATCGCGAGGTGCGCGTTTGGAATCGAGATAGATTCGATCAAAGATCCGGATAACGAATTTTATCGGAATGGGCTGGAATTCGTAAAAAATAGTCAGTCTAGAGTGAGACATATTGTTCTGGCTATGAAGGCGGTGATTATTATGAAGTTTCCAAGGATGGCTGATTTGTTTAAAATGAAATTGATTTCGGAAAAATACAGTAATTTTTTCATTCAAGTTATTCAACAAGCCATCGACTTGAGGAGTAAAGGAAACGTTAATCCTCCAGATATGCTTCAATTGATGATGAATGCTCAGGATAAGACAGACGACAAGCCGAAGTTGGACGCATTGGACATCACTGCTCAAGCATTTGTATTTTTTCTCGGAGGATTCGAAACAGTCTCGAGTCACATGTGCCTCATGGCTCACGAGATCGCGATCAATCCGGATGTTCAGGATAAAATTATGCGAGAAATCGAGACGACTTTGAATAAAAATAGCGAAAAAGTGACGTACGACGCTATCGTGCAAATGCCCTATTTGGATGCAGTTTTTCAAGAGACCTTGAGGCTTCATCCTCAAGCGACGATGCTCGGAAGAGTGTGCACCAAACCCTACACCCTGCCTCCCGCTCTTCCAGGCGCCAAACCCTACGATTTGGAAGTCGGCCAAGAAATCGTCGTACCGGTCAGCGGAATTCACTCGGATCCGGACTTGTTCGACCATCCGGACCAATTCGATCCGAACAGATACTTTTTGAAGGCTTCGCAGAACGCGCACGCGATCGATTTGGGATTTGGCTTGGGTCCGAGAATGTGCATCGGAAACCGATTCGCTATTTTGGAGACCAAAGTGCTGTTTTTTCACTTGCTGAGGAGGTGCCACTTGATTCCGTGCTCAAAAACTTCCATACCTTTGAAGTACTCGGTCGATACGATACAGCCGATTCCCAAGGATGGATTTTGGTTACGGGTCAAACCGAAATTGTAAAAGTGAAATTCAAGAGATTGAAAATTTCCGGAGTACTGAAATCATTCAAATGTATAAATTTACTATATCTATCTTCTTTAATGTATTATTTCTAGTCTTACAGCGTTTCTAAAAAGATAAATTTATAAACACAAGTGTTTTGTTAAAATGTGAAATCGAATTGTACCTCGAAGTTTTTACTTAATTTATTTCCTAATTATTATTATCCATGAAAATAACTTGAGAAACATCGAGGCAAAAAATTATATTCTTAGGAAAAAGAATATATTTGTTTATAATTTATAACTCATTTAAATAAATAAATTATAAAAATAAAAGTGATCTTTGATATAAGTCGGTATTCTTGTCGGGTTTATTCGGCAACGCACACTTACAACTTGAAATTGATTGAGCACATTCGACCAATATAATATTTATAGAAATCTGTAATTTTTGTAATATATATAGAAATCTAACATTTTTTTGACACTTGCAGATTTACAATACTCCATCTGTTGATGAACTCGAAAAGCTCACAATCACATATGACAGTTTCTATTACAATAAATCTTGTTACAACACAATGCGAACTCTGGAATAATAATGCTTACATTTTTCTCGAAAATATAACTCAGTCCTAAAATCAATAAGCAACTTTGTAAAAAGAGCTATTGAAAGTGAAACTTCAATAAAACTCCACCGAAAACCTCGTAAGATTTTTTTGAGAAATGTATGTTATAAAACATACTTTAAATACGTATCGATCATGCTGATTAAGCTGAGAATAGCGAAGTGTTGTGACACTTCTATTTCAGATTTTTTACTATTTTTTCGGTTAACGATATCCGATAAACAGATTCGACAATAATTTTGATAATTGTTCAAGTCTCAAGGAAGAATTGATGACAGATTTTTTAGCTGCTTATTCAGTTGTATAAGCACTTAATGTGAGGATTTTTTCCTACCGAATATCGAATATTCAGCGCATTTTGAATGACATGATAATAACAATAATAAGACTTGAAGCCTTTGCCACTAGATGGCGAGTACCTCAATTTGTAAATCTGCAAGAAGTAAAGTCAAAATAATTGTATAACCAAGTACATTCAAAATGATTGTACTTGGTATTCTACACACGCTATCGACGTATTTTATTTAGATTCATTAGATTAATCCAAATATTAACCATTGCAAATTGTCAACATAGTCCGATGGTTTTACGCTTGTTTACACTCTACAATATACGGTTTATCATTGGGAAAATTACGAGTACGCGTATATCGAACGTAGCTCCCGTTACCTTTCAACGTATAGTCAGTACACGTTGTGACGTCGAAGTAATACGAAGGAGAGAAGATCTCATCGGTCCCGGAGAAAGTGTGATTTTCGTTGAGAAAGTATTTACACTCGCTCGGTGTATTTACGATCGGTAAAGCTGCGACGACGTCGTATAGAGTGTGCCAACAACGAAACAAGATCCCGTCGACCGCAGCGAGTGATTTATCGTAAAAAATATGAAGAAAAAAAATGTAAAGAAACCAGAGAAAGATAAACTCCTTCGTCTTATCTTCCCGTTGAGCGATCGCGAGAGACGCAATGTCGTGAATAACTTCAAATCGTTGCGAGCGCGCGTCGATTGGAAGAACGAAGAGTCGCGACGCAAATTTCTCCTCGATATTCATCCCAAGGTCATAAAGACTCGATGGGCCGGCCGATATCCGGAGCTTCGGGGTATCTTCGAGCCCCGAGAGATCGACCACATTCTCTGGGATGCCGTGAATTGCCATTACGAGAGCGAGCACAAGTATCTGGGTCTGCAGATCATCGAATTCGTGGCTCTCTGCGGCTACACGGACGTCAGACCATCGTCGTCGTCGTCGTCGCGTCGCACCACGGCGCTACATCGGGCCTTCGAGTCCGACACCTACCACATCGCCGAGCTACTGTTCAAGATTTACGCCGATCGCGACGTCAACTACGCGGACGAGACGGGACTGACGCATCTGCACGTGGCCTGCCGATTCGGCTGCGACGAGGTCGTCGCAAAATTTCTGAAGCGCGGCCAGGATCCGAATCTCGTCTGGCCGGTGACGGGCGACACGCTGCTGCACCTGGCTATGCGCAACCAGAACGCGGTATTGGTGAAAAAGCTGCTGAAAAAAGGCGCCGACACGCATCGCGCCAACGACGAGGGTAAGTTGCCTCTGCACGTCGCTTGCGAGAAGGCAGCCGAGCACTTGGAATTATCGATCGACGACTGGTGCAAGTTATTTTGGAACGGAAGTGGGGAAAAAGTAGCGGCGAACTTCGATGCCCGGGACAAGTGGGGTAACACGCCGCTGCACTTGGCTTGTTTCGGCGAGAACGGTCGGATGATCAAGATGCTGCTGGCGTATGGAGCAGATCCGAATTCAGCCAACGAGGAAGGCATGACCCCTCTGCACGTCGTCTGCCAGGGAAACCACGGTCGGTTCGACGACGTGGACTCGGCCATGCAATTCTTCGCGAAGGCGAAGAAAAAGGTGCTGGTCGATTATTTGGACAACAGAGGCCGCACGCCGCTGCAGCTGGCCGTGGCCAACTTCTGGCCGGAGATGGTCGAGCAGCTCCTGGATCGTGGCGCCGACCTCGAGCGCTTCTTCTTTCCCCAGGAGGCCGACTTCCTCGAGAGGCTGCAAGTCTATCGCGCAGGCTGGAAGCACTTCGAGCTGAGACTGGCCTGGGCCTTGCTGAGCTGCGTCGAGCTACTGGAGAACGCGGGCTGGGAGCTGGGCCGAACCGAGGCCAAGAGGATCATGAGGCTGTTCGCCGAGCAGGGCCTGTTCGCCGAGTCGGCGAGCCTCGACGAGAGCTGGTACGCCAGCTGGGCCGCGACGGCCAGCAAGATCGGGATGGCGCCGAAGCTCACGCTGCTCGAGGCGACGAGGTTGCGAGCCGACGAGGCGGAGGATTGGCTGACTTTGGACCACTACTCGAGGTACCTGTCGCCCGATCGGAAAATTCATCTGCCCGAGGAGGCCGAGCTGGCCTGCACCCGGCATCTGTGCGAAAAACTGGCCAGGAAATTTTTCCGCCGATGGACGCGCGAGATGCGACCCGACGAGCTCGTCGACGATCTCATGAACAAGGATCTGTACGATATTTGTTTCAGGATAAGATGGATCGCGAATAACGTTGGGAAAAGGAAGAAAAAAAAGTGGGCGCGAGGCGTAGTACGCCACAGTACGAGGTCAAAAAAGGCGATAAGATTGTGAATTGTAAATTGTAAGGAAGGTTCCTTTTTTAATATTGCCGTGACATATATAAATAAAAGAAGCGAGAGAGATAGTCATTTCTGATATATTTTCTTGTCAGCTACGGGCCAAAGTTCGTAATGAGGATCTTTGTGATATTTGATGTGTCTGATGTATTTGGGTATACACCGTGTTACGCAAATAAATATATTCGAAAAAATTTCCAACTCATTAATTATTATTTATTTAAACTTTTTTTGTTGTTGTATTTTAACCTTCACATCTTGCTTATTGTGTGACGTATCCGTGCTGAAGAATGATGAAAGAAAGGCACATAATGTAGATATTCTTGAGATTCGTTTCAAATCAGTCGTCGATCAGAGTCATCGATGTCAGCTGTTCGTAGGCTCGAGGCAGCATGCATCGGACATATATGGTCGTGCATTACCCAAACTTAGTAGCTTCTGTATAGCCAAGTTAAGGAGGTTCCCTTGCAAAGTTCGCAAGAAGTACATATATCAATATCGATAGATTTTGACCTCCCGAATCCAATGTTATAACCCTCATAAGCCCAAGCCAGGCAAAATCTCGAGAAAAACGCGATCAAAGTTTCGAAAATTAACATGGGCAACATAGGAATTTATGAACTTTTGAGCTACATTTACAATTTATGAAAAGAAATCAAAGTTCGCAGAGGAATGATTATATACAAATTGTAGAGAAAGCTCTTATCTTTCAAAAATCGTGTCTCAAAGTATAGGTAGCCTGCCGTTTTTTCAATATTTTTTTAATAAAAGACGCGAAAACACGACTTTTTCCGCTCGTTTTAGGACTAGCAGACGACAAGCCAGCTAACTTAACCCATGTTACTGCGCGAACTCTCAATTGACTAGCGTGTTACCCGAGGGAACCTCCTTAAGTCGCATTACTTTCTAATCGTTTAGTATACGCTACGCAACCAAAGTGGCCCCGAGCGTTGACACAGCGTGGCGCTTTCTCATGTTAATTCTCATAAGAAAAAATTCAGTTCGAGCGGCCGACGCTGGCATTTTTTCCATAAGATTACGTGTAAATGGTGACTGTAGCGCCACTCTAAGCTCCGCCCAAACGCTCAGAGCGAAGCCACGAAGAGAGATCACGTCGATCGGAGAAAGTGAGCTTCGTCGAAAGATAATCTCGTGTAGCTTCCACCACGAGGTAATTACACTCGTCGTAGCGCAGTCAGTGAACGCTTCGACGTCGCAGCGTGAACATCGTGCGGGAAGATAATCAGTGACTCTTGTGAAAAAAAAGTTTAAAAATATTTTCAATTACGCTCGATTGTGTTCTTTTTTTGTCTGCAAGTGCCCAGAATGATGGATACGAACGAAAATATTTTCGAACACGGTAGCGTAGGTGAATACGACAGAATCGAGCACGTGGATGATTTTAACCTCGCAAGACTTTTACGATCGATCGAAGATAAAAGTACCGATCCTGCGGTCAAACGAGAGCGAATAAAAATTATCCGTTCGCGTTACAACCGCGTGTGCGAACTACAGCGACAGGTGGAGAGCCAACCTCTGAAGGCAATCGGTCTGAGGGCCGAAGTAGAGCGGCGGCTCTCGGTTTCCTTGTTGACCGACGGCACCGCACCAGTGAATCGCGCGGCTACCACCAGCGATAAGAATCTAGTGGCCACTTATCTTTTCGTAATAAACGGGAGGTTCGACAGGAGTTACGAGGAGCTCGACATGACGCATTTCCACATGGCCTGCCTGGTTAACCTCGGCGGCCTCGTCTGGGAGTTTCTCTGGCGCGGACAGGATCCCAATTGCCTCGTGCCGAAAACGGGTGATTCGCCGCTGCACTTGGCTCTGGCGAACGGCAACGTCGGGGTGGCTGAGCTGCTGATAAAAGGTGGCTCCGATCCAAATTTGTCCAACGAGCGAGGATCGGCGCCTCTGCACGTCATTTGCCAGAGAGACGACGGCGACGATGAATCGATAGATAGATTCTTGAAGATGTGCGACGACAGAGAGCTCACTTTGCAGTTGGACGCCCGGGACAAGATGGACAGGACACCGCTTCAATTGGCCGTGGTGCACAATTTGCCGCACGCCGTCGACGTACTCTTGGCTCGAGGCGCCGATATAGCGAGCTTCGAATTTCCCAAGGAGGCTTATTTCGCCGAGAGATTCAAACTGCCGAACTCGAGCGCCGAGAAATTGGCCACGGTGGCTCGCGTTCTGGCCGTCGTCCGCAATCTCGAAAAGGCTGGATTCGAGCTGAACCGAGACGACGCGCTCATCATCATGAACTTCTTTGACTGGTGCAGACTGTTGGACAAGCCGGCGGATTTCGCAGAATTTTGGTGCAAGAGTGCAGTGGAGTTCGGTGAAAAAGCGCTCAGCATCGTGATCAATTCATGGCTGTCGCTCCACGACTTGATCCAGTTAAACCCCCAACAGGCGGAG